ATCGGCAGCCGGGATTGTTTTTTATGCCGGTTCTCCGAGTTCTTTTTGATTCTTTTGCAGACAAGAATGCTTGACATCCTGGTTGGTTTTGTCCCGTCGTTTGGCCTGTGTGTGTGTTGGGGCGGTGCTGGCATGTGGGACTTGTCATCTGGGATCTGTTTTGTTGCCCCCTGTTCTGTCTGTTTTATTTGGCTGTTCCCTTCCTCGCTTCTTTGCCTCTTTGCCTTCTGGCTGTGTGCAAGTGGGTCGATATGACACACGGGGGTGGGGGCAGCCGCCGCTTAACCTACATCCACGTGGGCGGCCTTGTACGCAAGAGGTTCTGAACAGGAGGGGGAGTTATAAGGAAGAAGATAAAAAATTGAATTCATTTTTTCCTCTTTTTTTCTTTTTTTCTTTCTTTTTTTCGCATTTGCGCTCTGATATTCTTGTGACATTTTATATGTATATAACATATATGTATATAACATATATGTATATACATGAATCAGCTCGACGTGGCATCCTACTAGCCTAGTGGATCGATGATATAGATGGATGGAAATTTTCAGTTGTTTTTGATTCAGTGGTTGTGAGGTTGTGAGCGGGTTTAAACTGGGCCTGAGAATCTCTGCTGTATTAAATTAAATTATAATCGTGTATAATCAACACTCACTGGATTGTAATGAAAATATGAAATCGACGAAACTCGGAAGCGACGAGGAGGCAGAAAGAAGGAAGTGATCAACTGGCGGACGACAGAGTACTACCTACAGAAGAGAGAATTGTTCCGCACTCTATTCTCTCTTTTTCAATAAAAAAACTGAAGTCGAAAGCAGCACCAGAAGAGCCTTGCTTGTTTATTATGAAAAATTCGGGGAATGATAATAAGTAACACAAATGCCGGTAATAATTTCGTACACTAGAATTTTAGGGTATTATGAATTGCAGGTGTGGAGACTACATTTCGGGGGTATGTCCCAAGAAGTACGTGATTGAAGCAGATTTGGAACTGGGGCTGGTGAACTCTTAAGCCCAGGATCAATCAAGAAATGCGGCCGACCCATCTCTAGATTGGTGTGTAAGGA